GCCATCGAGGGAAGCTATGAATGTCTTCAGTTACTGATCGATCTCGGAGCAAACGTGAATGTCAAGGACGAATACGGATGGACACCTTTGCATGACGCCGTGTTTCACGACCATGTCAGCTGTGCAGTAGTCTTAATAAACGCTGGAGCGGCTTTGGAAGCCGAAACGGACGATTTTTGGACGGTACTTGAAATGGCGGACAGTGATAAAATGATCTTTACGATTGGAAGAGCGTTAGTTGTTAAAAACAGCGATGGGGACAAACGTGAACTAATGTACTGGGAAGATCAAGTATTTGAACCTGTCTTTGATCCTTACAGAGAAACATGTGTATAAAATGAATATAGCTTACCTTTATTATGATAGTAGGACGTTTATTTATCTATTTAGAGTTATTTAAGACAAGTTTCATTTTTATTCACTCCAAGATTCTTCTGAAATAGTGCAATAACATTTGAAGACTGTACAGCAAAATTTACTCATTATAAATAAAAGGAAATGGTCATGGAACGAACGTCTTTTAGTGTGAATTCTATACATTTTCAGATGGCCAGGAAGAAGATACTTCAACGGCAAAAGACGCCGAGGTCTATTCTAAGTGAACTGTGATTTAATTCAATTGACTGATGACGCGACAGAAGTTTTCCAAGCAGGTTGTTTCCTTAAACAGCCTCTTAGCACAAACAATATTTGCTAACTCTCTTGTAAGTGCGGAATGGATATTATCACATACTTGAGAAAGTTATTGGCAAACTTCGAATTTTCAATAGCGTGTGAATTCAAAACAAAGTTCGCCCTCTCATCTGTACGCATCATTTACTACGAAAGATAAATTGCGGTATTGTCAAAGGCGCAAATCAATTTCCAGATTTTAAACTTAATGTCCCTGAAGAAAGCTAAAAGAAACTTTTACCACTAGCAGCAACAGAAGAACTGCTACTACTTCTACTGGCACGTGTATGATCACGTGGATGCTCACGTTTTAGCTATTGAGGCGCCCCCAAAATCATTTGCATTTGGTTTTGGACTAAAAGAACCGAAACCAATTGCGTAAAAATGCACATGAAATTGCACTATGAAATTTTTATAACATTAGCGCTATCTGTCTATAATAGGCTGCGAAAGATTGTTTTAATCGTCTTTCTAGGAAATGCAGAATGTCTAGTAATTGTGAACTGGCACTCATTAGAGCTAGAAGTCCAGCAACGTGCCAAGACAGAAAAAACGAGGACGCTCATTAGTGCTAGTGTTTTTATTGTTAACTAGTGCCCTAACAATAGCTACTGTTTCTTCATCCATTAGCCATTAAGAAATAAAAGGTTCTTGAATAACCTTTACTACCAGCAATCGTAGAATAGCGTGGGATTTTCAAGCGCAGCAAATTGTAAGTCGCGTTTATAACGATTACAAAATGGCCGAGAGACTGATATGTCACACGAGTATCCGTTAAGATAGAATTAAGGAGTTAATGTAGGAATTACCAGTTTCAGTTGCCGCTCGAACCAATATCGATTGCAGCCCGTTTGTTTCTGGCAACCCTAGTCTTTGCCGGCGTAACTTTGTAATGTTAAGCGAATGAAAACAACCATTAGTTGTAATTAGCTTCCATTTTTATACCCTCATAGTGACAGCTGAAAACGACAAAAACGTTCAGCGGAGTAATTTACAACGCGGAGCCATCAAGACTTTTGTAGGCAAAATCAAAGCTCTCTTTGTAGTCAGAATTGAACGTTCTTTAAATAAAAAAAGAATTCCTTAATAGACAATCATTTTTATTTGCATTTCGTTCTGTTTGCAATTAAGTGTATTTCAAACAGTAGCAAGAGTTTGGCAAGGCAATATTTTCCAGAGCGTAGAGAGCAGGGCTAAGCCCCTTTGATTTACAATAAGTCACAACGCCCACACTGACGCCCACAAAAAAAGACTGGAAACTTAGTTTGATACAACATGTATACGTTATTCTATCAGTAGCAGAATTCATCTTCTGTAACAGAATCGAAGTACCCGGGAATTAAGAACTCTTTTCGGAAATCAACATTAATTCTTTTGAAGATATAGACATTTTGAAAGCAAAAAATAAAGCCCCTTCATCCGCGAACTGTTTAAAGGAACCGGAAACTTTACGGAAAGCGTTCCTCTTTGTCTTTTGTAGTGAAGTCGATCAAGCCTTTCTGTCATTGACGGCACGTAATTTCGTTACGTTATTCTGTCAAACAAATAAATCCATTCAGGAAAAGGAGAAAAACAAACCCAGGAATGACTTCTCATATCACACAACAACAGCGTCTGTCAAACAAAACCAAATGGAAGGAAGGCGCTGCACAGGTCGACTATCTGACGAAACTGTTCATATCCCTGATTTACAAAAAATGTTTCGTTTATCAAAATAAAGGAGAAAACTTTAAAAGGCGGTCTACTTTTAATCAGTCCAATCAGCGCAAAACCGGAAACGGACCGCGCAATACAAAGCAAAGCAATACAAAGCAAGAGACACTGATTTACAGCCCACTCTGAAGCCTGACGCACTAAAACAGATTGCAAGAACAAAGAAGAAAATGAGCGTTTGTCTATAACCTACTCAATGGATGCAGTGAATATGAAAATTTCAGCACAGAGCACACCAGTAAAAACGAACACACCGCGTACGGTTACCAAGCAACAGATTAGGCGAGGAGCGCGGGCTCATTTTCCTAACAGCGGCTGGTAATCGAGCCTAGGTAGGTACTTTATGTATGATTATTATATAGTGTACCGAGACATCGACCCTACAAAGCAACCAGCACAACTGGAAGTAAAGTATCCTACGAACAAATTGTTACAATCAATTCTTTTGTTGATATCGACTTCTGCCATGAGGGAATGTATGAATGAAAGGTTTCACAGAATGTCAAATTTCCTATCCCTAGTTATCTCAGCAACAACATAGACAATTTTCAACCGTTTATTTAACTTTTAAATTTTCAATTAACATTTTAACAGTTGGCCAGTTTCATCACAATCACCAAGGCAGCCAGAGTGCAAAGCTGAGTTTCCATCTATTCAAATGACATCCAACAATGTTACATTAAAAGTCAAAAGCGATTTCAGCAATAACTTAGAGTTAACGACTAGTCAATTTGAATGGCGACGTAAATATTTTCCATTTTAAGTTATTAAATACTGTTGGATGGGAAAAGTAAAGAACAAGTTTTCAAATAGTTACAACAGTGTAGGAGACAGTAAGACCGTTTATAAACGCTCTTTTAAAAAAAAGTACACGTTCTGGATTAGTATTTTCTCGCCTTTTTACAGATTGTTTACGACTGGATGAGCTTTGAAGTATCACGTTATCAACATCACCTTTACATTAGCAATTTAGAGTGGTTTTCGTTTGAGTGTCGTAAAACCAAAACCAAAGTAATTACTCGGGCCAATCACATAGGACACAGACAATACATTGAACCAATCAAAACTCGAAGTAATTACATGTGGCTGACGCAAAGCGCGGGAAAATGCATGCGAGCGCGTCACAATTGGCTTTGGTTTTACTTCTGATTGGATGAAAAGGTGGCGCGAATCTTTTAAGCCAATCGCATCGTGTAGAAAGTGCAAAACCAATTACTTTTCGACACTCAAATGAAAACCGCTCTAATTATTAAATTCTTTACAATTTATTTTTAATTTGACTACATTTATGTAAAATACGAAAAGGGTTGGTTAGATGTTAAATCTACCTACCCCTCCCCTTGAGCAAAATGCTAGGTTAGGGGAAGGGTAGGTGGGTAGTTTCTTAGAATCTTATCATCAATGTACAAGAAATAGTCATGTCCATGGATCTGCCATTCATATCCTAGCAATTCAAACAAAATATTGCAGTTTTGTCTCAAGAATTGTCAGGCCACATATATGCCAAGTAGTCCGTTTCGAAGTACCTATTTGACCACTTGCCGTAAGACAACAGATGCACCACTTAATCGCTCTAAGATCCATTGAACTGCACCTGTGTTGAGTAGTATCTGTAACGACAGATTTGAATTCAGTGACTTGGTCTGTAGTGCCAACGTTTGTCTCTTTGTTTCAGATTATTTCCATTATTACACTGTTGCGCGATCGCGATAAGCCAACCTTTTTTTTCTGAGTGCAAACTCTGTGGTATTTTTCACGTGTGATAAAAGCATATGCCACAGGACTCATAGCAATCGTTAATTTCCTGTCACGTGATAGAGTCTTCACAGCCAATAACACCACTCCACAGACCAACCAGTACCAACCAATACGCCAGTTATTGGTCTTTAAATGCAATGTCTTTCCTTTAAAACATGGATCACTATAAACGTTAATTTTCCAGGGGCAAACACTCACAAGAAAATAACGTAAGCTGATGGAGATGCTCTTCGTCTTTACTGCTGACGCGATTATATGTTACACTTTCTCTCTCCAAATATGAGATCACAGCCCACAACTTCCATGACACATGATGATGTTGCTAGCTGTTGTTTTGACACACCAATGGTGGAGTTCTGGTGCTGGCAACAGGAAATGATGCTCAGGAAAGAAACAGTTTAAAGCGAACCAGTTTTGGGATCTTTCCATCCCGACCGCTGACCTGAAAAAAGAGATCACTGTGCATTAAAAATGGCCTGAAACCTGAATCCATCAAAAGCCAACCGCGTTTCCACGAAATAAAAGACCCTGGGAACAAAGGTTGACTATAAACTCGAAAAGCTAAGCAGGCATGCGAACACAGGGACCCAAGGTAGCGACACGCACACAGATGGCTAAAGCAGACATTCCCCATAATATGCTTCCTGTTTGTTTGAGAACCCTTGAACTTAATGTTACAGTAATGGAACTCTGCTGGGGTGAATATGTTCTTCAGGCCTAGTTATTTTAAGCAAAGGCGTTTTTGAGCAACGCACGTCAGCCGGAAGTGGACTACTGCCCAAGTATGCAAAAAGCTCACTTCCGGTAGACGTACGTCGCTCAAAAACACCTTTGCTTAAGCTCCCTAGTACCAAAATCTTCTTACCATTAATTTTCCTTGAAAAATTAGCATCATGAGTCCATCCATAAGTTCGCTTCATGCACCCAGACTTCATTCTGGGGCTAGCAGTTACCATAGCAGTGCGACTACCCTGCCTCGATCCCAGGGGATGGTACAAATCCATTGCCATGTTGTAAGACAATGCAGCGGGAGAAGGTTGATACTTCATGTAAGGAGAGCGTCCTCGTCCTTTACCCTTGCGAGAATTTACAACAGCTGTCTGTGGTCCTTCTTGAATAGGACGCCCGTAAATATTTATATCATTTTGTTCAGTTTTTCCTGATGCAGAAGTTGGGGCAGCTTTTTTCGGTTTATCGGTTTTATTTATGGTTTTCTTTTTTTCAAACTTAGTTCTCACGTGTTTTCTCCATGCTAACTGTATCGTGAGAGCAGCGACTTCTTCACAGAGTTGTTCTTGTTCTTTTGTCACGTCACGCATCATCATATCGCGCTCTCTAAGTTCGCGTTTAATTGAGGTCCACTTCCTAAACCATCGCTGAATCGCTACCGCTGCATTCACTTTCGTGCGTATTAAATGAAGTCGTTCACGCTCTTTTCGTGCGAGCTCTGACTTGGAAAGACCGCTGTGCATTTTGGTCACTCTTGATTCAGAATGCTCGTTATCAATAAAATCACTTTCTGTAGCACTTTCTTGCAAAGAGCTTTTACTGCTGGAGAAGGAAAATCCTTCGTCCAGTTCCACATCTTCGTCCAGTAACACAGAAGAAACAATTTTCACCAGCTCGGAATTAGCTAGAGAACGCTTTCTAGACTCCTCTTCCCTTGGTAAAAGGGGTAAAGACGTCGAAATAGTTTTTTCCTCGTTTAATCCTTGTGATAAATAATCGACTGTTCTTTCAGTCGTAATATTTTGTGCAACGTCTCTTCTTGGCAGCTGGGACTCTAAAACCAAGAGATCTACCTGAGACTGTCTTTGCTCTTCACTTGAAGACAAACTTTCTCTCCTCTGTTGTTCCTGCTCCAGAATGACTTCGTGGCTTCTCGAGCTATCGATGGCAGAGTTTTCTATTTCTCTGACAAGGAGGGAACAGTGTAATAAAGCACGTTAATACATACATTTTTTACCAAAAGAATAACATAAGCTTGCCGTAAACGTTACGATTCTACTCCATACCAATGTAAGTCAACATCTAACCGACACACCAATTTATGATATCAATACTTTTTCCATATGGCTGTTACCGAAAATTTGTGGAAAATAGCAATTTTTTCGGAACATGGAACCGAACCAGTTTGCAAGAAGTAACCTAGAGCTCCTGTGATCACTTTAAGTTCTTATTGATCCATTACGGTGATTTATTTATCGTTATCAGCCTTTTTAATTGGGTACTTTAAAACAAAAGCTATTTTTGTCCAATCACGACAGATATAGACCATCTAAAGAACCAATCAGAATTCAAGGCCAAGCGCGAGAAGGCGCGTGAAGGCTCGTCACCACTGTTTTCGTCTTACATTTGATTGGCTGAAATTGGCGCGAGATTTTGCTAATCCCAAATCGTACAGATGCAAACCAGAGCAACTACTACATGTATACCAGGTGAAATTTACTCCGGGCATTATAAGCAAATAATAAGGAAAACATACCTTGGAGACACACCACGAGAAGTCTGGTTATCATACAAGTCCGGAGTCTTTCTTTGGCCCGCCACACTGGCACGTTTCCTGACCTTTTTAACCCGTTCGTGTTTTACGAACAGGTCTTTCCGGACTAAAAACCCTTTGCGCACTCGATGACCGCGCCAGCATTTCTGAATAGTAGTTGAAGCAATATCCTCGATTCCATTTATAGTTAAGGCTCCTTGCTCGATCATATACTGTTCAAAAGAACAAAAGGTCAACAATCTCTATAAATACTTCATGGAAAACAATGGGCAATAGGGCAAAGAAAGTTTTACAGCAACACCGAATTACTATTACCATTATGAGATTATGAGATTACCATTATGTTATTTTCATCGAAATTTGGGGTTTTTCAGTGCAAATGGTCAATGCTAACTGCTACCCTTTGTCTATTTTATTGATACATAAAGTTTTTCCGTTGTTACCTGAGCAACATCTTGATGGTCACCAATTATGGCGTAATCAAGAGGCGTCAATCTGAATTCAAAACAGATTCATCAATTAGTTTCTGTGAAAACCCAAGAGATATTAGAAAAATCTCTGACTTTCTCGTACTGATATTTTCTTAAACTGCATGCAAGTGCCTCTACCTTGTACAGGTGGAATTTACAAAAGCTATACATCCATCACCACTCTACAGCCTGGTATTAATGTCCACCACCTGTCAGTACCCCCCTCAGTAAAAGACAGACAATGGATTATTCTTCAGTAGTACCCGACCGTCTCCACCCTAGCAGTGATTTAACCTACCTGTCAGTGTGTCCCTCAGTAAAGTTAGGAAATGCTTTGTTCCTAAGAAGCAGTTTAACAGCTTCCAAATGTCCCGATGCACAGCTCCGGTGTAAAGCTGTAATGCCGTCTTTGTCTTGATGATCCACATACGCACCATGCTCTATTAAAACTGTCATGAACTTAACAAATCCACCATGAGCTGCGCATTGCAACGNTCAGTACCCCCCTCAGTAAAAGACAGACAATGGATTATTCTTCAGTAGTACCCGACCGTCTCCACCCTAGCAGTGATTTAACCTACCTGTCAGTGTGTCCCTCAGTAAAGTTAGGAAATGCTTTGTTCCTAAGAAGCAGTTTAACAGCTTCCAAATGTCCCGATGCACAGCTCCGGTGTAAAGCTGTAATGCCGTCTTTGTCTTGATGATCCACATACGCACCATGCTCTATTAAAACTGTCATGAACTTAACAAATCCACCATGAGCTGCGCATTGCAACGGAGTACGGCTATAAACAAAACAAATTCACCAGTTAAAAAACCGTAGATTGTAGACAGTAGAAAGGCAGGGACAAACTCTAAGTGTCCGGTGTATTCTGGAGGTACTCGTGTCTAGAAGGGTCTAGTAAGAAGGGGATGACAGCAAGACACGGCCCACTACAAAGTATACCCAAATCAGAAGGAGACATAATTTATCCTTTTCTTTCTTTTGCCTTTTCCTGTGTTTACAGTACCACAACAGAATCCTGAGTCCCGCCGAATCCCTCGGTTTCTGGAACCTTCCGATTTTTCCCAGTCAAACACTGTAATTTAAACCGAATGTTTTAAACCTCCAGATAATCTAAGGTTCGAAAAACAGGCATTCCACGGTAATATCTTCGGTCAGTGTAGTATTTATCTAGCCTAGTCTCTGTACGGCGACTTCCCTGGCCTTCTCGGTCAATGCATTTCACATAGGCCGCGCCCAATGATGAGGCCTAAGGACAAGGCAAGTATTCATTTTTGTGTATGCTGATCAGTACTAACTATGTAATTTATTTCATGCAATTCCAACAACTGTAAACTGAAAGGAAGAAGTGAAAATCAATTGCAAAGGAAACACGTGTCAAACTCACTTCATTTTATCTCTGCTGTCTGCAGCTAAACCCTGTTCCACTAAAGCGAGGCAGATCGGGGCGTGACCACCAAGCGCAGCCCAATGAAGCGGTGATCGACCGTCTAAGTCTTCAAGGTCTATTGCCGCCCCATCTGTGATAAATAGTAAGATTCAAAGGTTATTAGCATCAAACTTAAAAGAGGTCTCCCCTACCTACCCCTTGAAGGTGTTTACAACACATGGCTAGTGTGGCAGAGAAAATTTCCGAGACAAATAACGTACATTTAATATGCAAACTCCCCGACGAAGTCAATTGGGGGAGGGGTGAGGAAAAGCAAAATGTACAACACTAAAACAAACGTTTGTTAATGAAACAGACTGAAAAGTCCCACTTCCCTCCCCAGGATTTCCTTAGCCTTTAATTGTGGGAGGAGCCAAGAAAAGCATAAATGTGCAACACTAAAACTACTATTTTTAAACAAACGCTTGTTAATGAAACAGACTGAAAAGAATCACTCACTTAGAATCAAATTGTGGACAACTTCGGTGTGCCCCATTTCGCATGCGCGGAAGAGGGGTGTGTGCTGTAACCTGTCCACAGCATTAACGTAGGCTCCAAATTCAACAAGCAGCTCCACGCAATCCACGCGACCAGAATACGCAGCTGCGTGAAGCGCGGTACCATCTGTATTGTCCTTTGTGTGTACATCAAGATCGTGGTCTAGCATCGTCTCTAACGCCATTTCACTTCCTGAAAGAAAAGTCACCACTTTAGTTATACACACGTCAAGTTGCGTGTTGCCATGTTCTATGAACTTAAAGGTCAAGCTCTTAAAAAGAATTTCGGCATTTACTAAACAACTATAAGCAATTCGTCACTTTAGAAACGGGGGAAGAACTGGGGACGCGCCAGTCAGCTATTGGCCAATTTTTTCCCTAACCCTAGTAACAGTCCCAGAGGCCTTTGCGAAAGTTAACTCGGCCCAGTTTCCTTCTCTTATTAAGTTGCACGTGAAACTGGATTGGTGTTGTATCGAATTGCATCATGGGAGTGTATTGGGGACACTGCCGCTTCTTTCATTGGCTATTGCGAGGTTGCGGAGAAAAAATGGTTAAAAATTTGTCCACCAAAACCCGACCCCTAGTAGACCCCCAGTGCAATTCTACCCAGTCACAAGCACACTCCAAATGGCCGATAGAAAAAAATGGCCGATAGAATTGATTGAAATAACAAAATAACTGCTAGGAACAGTAAAAGAGTAGAAGGGCAAAGACTTAGATATGTGGTAACGCCAAAGAAAAAGTTTCACTCAATTTGTATGAAGGTGTGACTTACGATGCTCGGGAGTGATCAATGTTTGCTATGAAGCGATGATTTTGTCAATAAACGGAGCTGCTGAAAGCTTGTAGCCAGAAGCATTTTAAATAACGTGACCTGGCCTTCCAATCCCATCACACTGTTCAAGCGAATTTTCTAAGCTTTGGACAGAAAAGAATAAAACACACCTTTTCCAGCAGCCCACATGAGTGCAGTTCTGCCTTCTTTATCAGGGATATCCTCTATATTATCAAATGACAAGAACACTTCTACAGTCTCACTGAAGTTACCCTGCGCTGCGTAATGAAGTGCAGTGGCCCCATTGTCATCTGCGGCAGTGAAGTCTGCTCCTTTATCCAGCAATAATTTCACCAGCTGAGAGTTGCCTGAGGGTAAACAGATCAATTCAATGTCTGTGTTCATTCCCGCCACGATTGTTGGGACATTTTTGGTGAAAAACCTCGAGCAATGATACATAAAAATTGGGGTCTATGCTACACGGGACAAGGCCATTTTTTCGGGAAAAATAAAACTGTACGTGTAACCACTTTATTCTGCGACAAATTTTCTGTTAAGCTGTCCATGGAAATGTATAAAGAAGTTCACATTTTGAATCCCCGGGTCCCACGATAAAACAACCAATCAGAAACGTAGCTATGAAATTTCCCGCCTAAAAAGACACAACGCACACGTCAAAAGGTGACCAACACGGGAAACAAACTTGGGCGTTGCCGCTTTTACCTTGGTTAAAGTACAATGGGCGCAAAATTCCTAAATAATGTGAAGGCAACAAACCTAATACGGCCGCCCAGTGTAGTGGTGAACGTTTCATGTTGTCTTGAACGGATACTTGACACTTCCCAACAGCCAGTAAAGCCCTGACCGCCGCTTCATTATGTTGAGCTACAGCTAAATGAAGAGCTGTTCTACCCTCGCTGTCTTGGTGGTTAATTATGTCAAAATTTGCATCCTTAAAGCAAAAAAAATTATATCATTATACAAGTAAGACTCGGTAGAAAATAGGACAAGATTTCTGCACAGCCCCATACAATCTTTATGCATACAAGTTTCGACTCTATTCGTATAAACTGTTTGTGACAACTACTGTGGGATAGCTGTATGCAAAATAACGCATGGGCGGCCTGTACCCTTATTTGTTTTGAGTTTCCGTATTATAAAAACATTGTTCAGATTATCTTCCTTAAAGATCTCAAAGATTTCCGGGATTGTTCACAAACGATCACTGTGACAAGAGAGCACAATCCTCAGACAACATTAGATAACGTAAGTTAACTGAAAGATTTCTTAAAATCTGACCTGTTACAAACAAACTCTAGTACAATGCACTAAATTCTTGATTTAATTCAGAGACACTGGACAAGTGAAAAAAGGAAAGTGGTTTGCTTCTAACTTGGACGTGTCAAAGGCCCAGAATACCCATCCTTTTTCCCGTTAGCTTCAGATAGTCTCAGTTCAACTCTTTAACTCTACAGTTACTGTTCATTCCACGTTATTGGGCTTAATAATGCCTACATATTTTATTTACCAGAATGAGTTTCAAAACAGCAGGATCAGGATTTGTTGCTGCCCAGTGAAGCGGGGTTCTCTCTATTAAAATACAGAGAAAAGTACTCAATTAGATCTCATAGACAATGTCCGCAACCAGAATACGCAGCTGCGTGAAGCGCGGTACCATCTGTATTGTCCTTTGTGTGTACATCAAGATCGTGGTCTAGCATCGTCTCTAACGCCATTTCACTTCCTGAAAGAAAAGTCACCACTTTAGTTATACGCACGTCAAGTTGCGTGTTGCCATGTTCTATGAACTTAAAGGTCAAGCTCTTAAAAAGAATTTCGGCATTTACTAAACAACTATAAGCAATTCGTCACTTTAGAAACGGGAGAAGAACTGGGAACGAAATGTTCCCCGCAATTGATTCTGGGATCGTTACTGGGGAAGCGCCAGTCAGCTATTGGCCAATTTTTTCCCTAACCCTAGTAACAGTCCCAGAGGCCTTTGCGAAAGTTAACTCGACCCAGTTTCCTTCTCTTATTAAGTTGCACGTGAAACTGGATTGGTGTTGTATCGAATTGCATCATGGGAGTGTACTGGGGACACTGCCGCTTCTTTCATTGGCTATTGCGAGGTTGCGGAGGAAACTGGTTAAAAATTTGTCCACCAAAACACGACCCCTAGTAGACCCCCAGTGCAATTCTACCCAGTCACAAGCACACTCCAAATGGCCGATAGAATTGATTGAAATAACAAAATAACTGCTTGGAACAGTAAAAGAGTAGAAGGGCAAAGACTTAGAAATGTGGTAACGCCAAAGAAAAAGTTTCACTCAAGTTGTATGAAGGTGTGACTTACGATGCTCGGGAGTGATCAATGTTTGCTATGAAGCGATGATTTTGTCAATAAACGGAGCTGTTGAAAGCTTGTAGCCAGCAGCATTGAAAATAACGTGACCTAGCCTTCCAATCCCATCACACGGTTCAGTGGAATTTTCTAAGCTTTGGACAGAAAAGAATAAAACACACCTTTTCCAGCAGCCCACATGAGTGCAGTTCTGCCTTCTTTATCGGGGATATCCTCTATATTATCAAATGACAAAAACACCTCTACAGTCTCACTGAAGTTACCCTGAGCCGCGTAATGAAGTGCGGTGGCTCCATTGTCATCTGCGGCAGTGAAGTCTGCTCCTTTATCCAGCAATAATTTCACCAGCTGAGAGTTGCCTGAGGATAAACAGATAAACTCAATGTCTGTTTTATTCCCGCGATGATTGTTGGGGCATTTTTGGTGAAAAACCTCAAGAAATGATACATAAGACTTGGGGTCTATGCTACACGGGACAAGGCCATTTTTTGGGGGAAAAATAAAACTATCTGTGTAACCACTTTATCCTGCGACAAATTTTCCGTTAAGCTTGTCCATGGAAATGTATAAAGAAGTTCACATTTTGAATCCCGGCCCCCACGATAAAACAACCAATCAGAACCGTAGCTATGAAATTTCCCGCGTAAAAAGACGTAACGCACACGTCACAAGGTGACCAACACGGGAAACAAACTTGGGCGTTGCCGCTTTTACCTTGGTTAAAGTACCACGGGCGCAAATTTCCCAAATTAATTTGAAGGCAACAAACCTAATACGGCCGCCCAGTGTAGTGGTGAACGTTTCATGTTGTCTTGAACGGACACTTGACACTTCCCAACAGCCAGTAACGCCCTTACCGCCGCTTCATTATGTTGAGCTACAGCTAAATGAAGAGCTGTTCTACCCTCGCTGTCTTGGTGGTTAATTATGTCAAAATTTGCATCCTTAAAGCGAAAAAAAATTACATCATTATACAAGTAAGACTAGGTAGAAAATAAGACAAGATTTCTGCACAGCCCCATACAATCTTTATGCATACACGTTTCGACTCTATTCGTATAAACTGTTTGTGACAACTACTGTGGGATAGCTGCATGCAAAATAACGCATGGGAGGCCTGTACCCTTATTTGTTTTGAGTTTCCGTATTATAAAAACATTGTTCAGATTATCTTCCTTAAAGATCTCAAAGATTTCCGGGATTGTTCACAAACGATAACTGTGACAAGAGAGCACAATCTTCAGACAACATTTGATAACATAAGTTAACTGAAAGATTTCTTAAAATCTGACCTGTTACAAACAAGCTCTAGTACAATGCACTAAATTCTTGATTTAATTCAGAGACACTGGTCAAGTAAAAACAGGAAAGTGGTTTGCTTCTAACTTGGACGTGTCAAAGGCCCAGAATACCCATCCTTTTTCCTGTTAGCTTCAGATAGTCTCAGTTCAACTCTTTAACTCTACAGTTACTGTTCATTCCACGTTATTGGGCTTAGTAATGTCTACATATTTTATTTACCAGAATGAGTTTCAAAACAGCAGGATCAGGATTTGTTGCTGCCCAGTGAAGCGGGGTTCTCTCTATTAAAATACAGAGAAAAGTACTCAATTAGATCTCATAGACAATGTCCGCCGTTTGAAGACAGTTACTGCTGACAGTTAGCTGCCCAAGATAGAGTTGGATAAAAGAGCCATGTTGGGTGCCCTGTGCTCTACAAGTTAAGGCAACCCAACCCGTTTAAACAACCACCTCTTTATTACAAGCACATTCTTTAGGTTATTGGCAGGGACCAACTTTTAGTGTCTGTTTTAGAGAGTTGGTTGTCTTTAAGGGGTGCCCCCTTTTTTGTCAGCGAAATTAATCAACTGTAAGTACCTACATCAATACAAAAACATACAGAGATAGAGTATACAGCAATGCTGCTCCCTCATTATGGAGTAATTTTCTCTTCCCAGGAACATCACTTCCACAGTAACTATAAAGGTCTTTCAACGTATTAAATCTCCAGACTTACTTGTTTACAGTATCATACCGTCGATTTTTTTGAAAATTTTAACCCTTACCCTAACCCAGGGGTCCGGACCCCTAGCAACCATGACTGGTGGGAGGAGGCATTTGCCACAAAAACGTTAAACAGTCCTTTCTGAACCAAAATTTGGACCCCCCCAATAAAAAAATCCTGGATCCGCCCCTGCGGTTCCAAANATGTCTACATATTTTATTTACCAGAATGAGTTTCAAAACAGCAGGATCAGGATTTGTTGCTGCCCAGTGAAGCGGGGTTCTCTCTATTAAAATACAGAGAAAAGTACTCAATTAGATCTCATAGACAATGTCCGCCGTTTGAAGACAGTTACTGCTGACAGTTAGCTGCCCAAGATAGAGTTGGATAAAAGAGCCATGTTGGGTGCCCTGTGCTCTACAAGTTAAGGCAACCCAACCCGTTTAAACAACCACCTCTTTATTACAAGCACATTCTTTAGGTTATTGGCAGGGACCAACTTTTAGTGTCTGTTTTAGAGAGTTGGTTGTCTTTAAGGGGTACCACCTTTTTTGTCAGCGAAATTAATCAACTGTAAGTACCTACATCAATACAAAAACATACAGAGATAGAGTATACAGCAATGCTGCTCCATCATTATGGAGTAATTTTCTCTTCCCAGGAGCATCACTTCCACAGTAACTATAAAGGTCTTTCAACGTATTAAATCTCCAGACTTACTTGTTTACAGTATCATACCGTCGATTTTTTTGAAAATTTTAACCCTTACCCTAACCCAGGGGTCCGGACCCCTAGCAACCATGACTGGTGGGAGGAGGCATTTGCCACAAAAACGTTAAACAGTCCTTTCTGAACCAAAATTTGGACCCCCCCAATAAAAAAATCCTGGATCCGCCCCTGCGGTTCCAAAGGAGTCTATCTTAGACAGAGTTGACTGTATGAGCTTTGGAAATTTGATTCCATTATACTAACTTTCTTTGTCAGTGAGTGTGACATCAGCACCAGCTTTCAGCAGCAACTTGACATGTTCGGTATTGCCAAACGATGCACTCCAGTGAAGTGATGTCATCCGTTCATTATCAAGTACATCTGCTTCACCTTTAGGGACTTGCTTCAATAACAAACTCAGACACTGTAATGTAAAATAACGAAAATGCCAATATCAGATAGTTTAGACAAAAATAATGGATAATGTCATGAATAAAATTAATAAACTACTTCCTGTTTACAATCATCGTCATCAAGCAGAGGAGACAAGTCAACGGGCAGAGAAGTTACGGTAGCCAAAAACTCATTTCCATGTTTTTAACTCGAAGAAGGAGTAATATATATTTTTTAATGTACAAATACGTGTAATTTCCACGACTTTTGTAAGCCCACAGCAGCCAAAATACTCAAATTTCAATTCTCATAAATTTCTGTACAAATGTTTTACAGTCAAAATTGGTGTACCTATTTTTATATAGCTAACTAATGCTCACAATTTCTTGAGACATACGTGAGGTTTACATACAGTGTAATATTGGGGAGCTTAAGCAAAGGTGTTTTTGAGCTACTCATGTCAACCAGAAGTGAGATCTTTTTCATTTTAAAATATATTGGCAATACCAAAATTGTATTTCTATTATTTATTGTCTCTTTCTTATTATAGAAATGATTTGTCCAAAAATTTGGGTAAAAATACAGCTCAAGAATGAAAAAAGTCCACTTCCGGTTGACATGCGTCGTTTAAAAGCGTCTTTGCTCAAGTTGACTATTAACTGATACTAAACTGTACAACTGAATGGGAAGGAAAGTACAAACCTTAGAAGACTGATGGCTGGTAGAAAAGTGAAGTGGGGTTCTGTAACAAAATAAAAGAAAATAGAATTGCCTGTCAAAAACAATAACAAACATCCAAGATAGACTGACAACCACCAGTAAACTTAATCTTTATTTAACAACTTTGTGAATACATTCAACTAGATTTCCATTCCCCTGTGGTCACATGGGATTTGAAACAACATAAAGTTTCCATGACTTATGTCATATTTTTATTAAAGGTCATTTTTGATTTTGTTTTTGACTTGCTCTTTCTGATCAGTACAAGATTCTGGGAAAAGTCACCACCTTCACCTACCCATCCCCTCACCCACACTTTGCCCTAAGCAAGATGTCAAAGTTTTGGGGGGATTAGGGGAGGGGTCGGTGGGCAGTTTCCCAGAAAAAAGAACTTGTAACTTGCCTTCCTTTGCTATCTTTTACTTTCCAGTTTGCTCCCTTAGCTAACAACAGCTTCACACATTTCAGGTTTCCCTGTCAGCAGAAAATATCAATAAATGAGGCCCTGCTAGGATAACATTTGACAAGCAATATGGCCTTGATAAAATATGTTGTTCTTAATATTTCTGATAAATGGTGAATTTCAGTTCTAGAGCAGTTGGTAGGTTAATACCTGGTAAGCTGCCCAGTGCAGGGGAGTCCTGCCGTCCATGTCACATGAGCTGACCTAAAGGAAAGTATGAGTTTTAAGAGAAAAAAAGACTGCATTTAAAAAAGGGCACAAAAAATCTCTCTTTAATACTAGATGAATAATATTATTATTCATCCAGTATTAAAGAGATATTTTTTTGGCCAGTTTCTTCATGAAGGGATGACATGTATGCTGTAAGTTATGAACTGCACTTTTGCTTTGATCAATGATGTTTATATATTTGGACTAAGTGAGCAATGTACATGCCATAAAGTAAATCTGAAGAATATGGTTTTAAGCCAACATCTCTTTCTCTTTCTGTGAGCCAGAAAATTTAGAAATAGGCATGTATTCAACCTGCTGAAAATCTGAAATGAGTAAATGTAACCTTACTCTTAAAAAGATCACTGGGAGATTTACATGAATCATAAGTCAAGAAAATTCTCTTACATTGGCTCCAGCTTTAAGAAGTGTCTCAGCACAATCAAGTCTGTCTCCTAACACACTGTACACCTAATAAAACAACGGATTGGCTATGCTGTTTAACAAACCATGGAATTTCAAATGATAGTACAAGTATACTGATCACTTAATAGTGATTTGCTTTGTACAGAAAATGTACCCTGCGGGGTGAAATATGTACGACAATGTACATACTAGTGTTGGGAATAAGCAGAGATTTCATAATCAATCATCGGAAATAATCGGATTGACTCACCTTATCAGTCACAATTTATAATCAGAAAAAATCTCACTATAAGAATTCCATTGATTATTTTTCACCTCAAGTCAAAGTAAAATTAATGTTGGGTAACACAAACGTTTTGAGTTTTTAACTGTGGACCACTGAGCTCAGGACTTTTTCTGTGCTTTCAGCTGATCAAATTCTCTAATTATGAGACTATTAAAAAGACAGCACAAAATTTTTTTAAAATCTTTATTTGCCAACAAGAAATTTTTTAACTTTTTCGATCCCCATGATGATCAATTGAACATCTTCCCTAATCAATTATCAGATCTTGTAATGTACTACATAAAAACATACATACAATCAACTGGCATAACACCTAATCTAATGCAAGAGGGAATAACCTCAACTCCAATATATTTAACAAGAGGAAGTACACGTATGTTCACATAAACTGGAAATGTGATTATTGTAACCAGCTTTAACCCATTTTAAAGACGAAAGTACGTTAAAACTTTTTAAAATCACTTTTGACTATAGTTAATGTACAGAGTCTTACCAGTGGAGTGCGGCCAAATTGATCTCCTTTGTTAAGAAATTGTCTTTCATCTTAAAGTGAAAAAGTGAAATACATTAAACATCAAAGGACATCTTTAATCTTAAGCACCTATCAGAACAGCCGACCATTCTAGCTTTCTTTGGAAAGTACATCAGCAACCCATTGCACAAGTACAATGTACAATGTTGCACAACTGCTGACTTCTAAATTCAAAAATTACATAGTCCATTGGTAGCACATTTAAGGGTTATATATAAAACGTGAAAGAAAAGTAAAGAGCGAGAAAATGTTAACAAATGTATATACTGGTGTGGTGAGCAATGCTTTTTATGATATACAAGAGTACATGTAATTTATATCGCTTTATAATAAGCAAATGCATTGTGTACTTAGCACATAAGTGTATGTTAAAACCCTTTAAAAGTTCATTTAATGCCATTAGCAAAGTTATCTTTTATACCCTGCAAATAATTTCTTTAACTTGCTTTTTCAACTTTGCTTGGTACTCAGAATTTTTTTGGAGAACCTGAACGTTGAATTTCATGAAAATGATCAAGATAATATTATATGACTCTGTTTTTTTTTTACTCACCTTCACGTAACAATCTTCGAAGAAGGGCTTTATTTCCGTTGACAGCGGCTGCATGCAAAGGGGTTGGTAATGCACCTAAAATAAAAAATACGAAATAACATTTTAGCACACTATCCTACATTGACCACTAAGTGAATAAGATACTAGGTAAAATATTTTAACTAAATAAAGTTGAACAATATTGATATCAGTAGTTCGCATCTAAGACTTTTACTGGTTCAAATTATGATTTAGAAATATTGCTTCTTCTTTTTTTCCATTTTTTGTGGTGAAAGGAAAATCAAGGGGTCAACCATTGACAAATTTGATGCAAATATTAATTTTATTTTATTATGAAAATGAAAGCATTACAGTGGAACATTGATATAACAAGCCTCTGTATAACGAAGTCCTTCATACAGTGAAAAATTTTCTTCACCCCAGTAATAGTAAAATATATGAAAATAAACCTATATTTTATGAAACCACATTTTGCCAGTTGCTCGAACCCTTGTAATATAGAGTTTCCACTGTACACTGTATCTTGGTAATTCCTCCCAGTCAAAGTAAACCTTATTAAACCAAATCAAACCTCGAGTGCTCAGGGTAACTTTAATTTGATATAAAATAGTGAATGTAAAATTTGAATAATACCCAAGATACAAATGTACATCAAATAGTTCTATGCAAGAGTGCTGCTAAGGTTGCATTTGAATGGCAGCACTAGAGAGTTTAGTTTGCAAACTCAAAAGTTAAAAAAATATTGTAAGTGTTTCATATAGCATATAAAGTGTAAGTAAATGACTCTGAAAGTGAAATAGTAAAAAAGGCAAACAATGAATAATTTTTTTATCATTTAAAGCTTCTATTACCATCTTGCGATGACCCAGACTGTGTAATACCATGACCATCTGGACTTGAGTGAAAATTTTCTTCAACCTTTTTAAAACAAAAGTAATATTACCATTACATGTTCAGTTTGACAGCTTTTTGATTTTCACTTTCTTCAGCAAGGAGAGTTGTAACCGCTAGCCTTAACACCCTTTAATCTAAAATTTAACTATTTTCAAAGAAAAACATATTGTCTAGTACTTGGCGTTAAACCAAGATGTCGTAGAGTACTAAGTAACAAGTAACTAGAAAATAAACAGTTTCTCAAAGTGATGTAAACTGTATACCACCTTAATTATCATTTAAACTAAAATAAAGAAGACTGAAAAGTACATGTACACTTGATAGTTGAATCCTGTGATTTTAACCTCCTGAGAAAAAGGAAATTGCTTTTAAAAATAGGAGTAATCAAAGGTAAAGTAACTTGAGGTGGGAAAGGGAAATAAGGTTAGAATCAAGTATCCGGATTATGTATAATCACTACAGGTTCAAAAATTAAAACAGGATTCTTTTTATATCAACAATTTGTAATACTGTAAGGTGATAAGTTATGTTACCATTAGATACATTGTACATAAGAAACTCTCTCCGTCACTCTCAGTTCTTCAAGGATGCATTTTGCAATGTTGCCTCTTGAATTCACTTCAATTCCTCTGTTTCAACATATATCACTCATTAATGTGCAGATTCCAGATTTTTCAAACAAAGAGGATGTGTCCAAGATTTAACTGTATTAAGTTACTAACTTTAGCTTGATTTTATGATGTGCAAAGCTTTTTGTTTTCTACTGATGGTAAATTTAATGATTGTCTCACTTCACTCTGGAAGGAAAATTCTCTATTACAGCTGTCATATCCAATTTTCTGGCAGTATTTTGTCATTCTGACATAAATGATAATATCACTTTAAGCACAAAATGAGCATCACATTTGAAATTCTCATTAAAAAGAGTAGATACAGCAGATGTCCAGAGATAAAAGCTTTCAGTAAATACGAGAGTACATGAACATGTACATTCTGAACATCCACTTTTGATTTTGAAATTTACACCAATAACGTGGTCCTAACTAATAGGGTATAGCAGTGATGCCATCAAGGAGATTACAAGCAAAGAACCAGACAGCTGCCCTTCAGACGAGCAAGCTCTGTTTCAATCTGCCACCAAATCAACGTCTTTGTGCTTGTCTATGGGCAGAATTGTGTGTGTGCAGTTTTTCACCCCACTATAATATTTCTTGTCATCCGTTTATGGAATAATAAAAGGATATAGGAAATACTAACAAAAAGACACCAATATAATGCGCAAAAGTTATAATTTATCGGTCATCACGATTTAGTGAAAAGATGCTTTTAAGTAATAAAAAAGTACATATTTTTCCAGATTTCAGCTTTACACACGGGTATATGTGCGTATATGGACACTACACTCCTGTAAAAGAAACTTCTCTGTTGGTAGTTCAGTTTTTTTATTCTACAAAACAAAATTATGATTTTCTTGAGAATTTCAGTCTTGACAACTACTGGGAGTCAAAGAGTCAAGTTTGCATCAATGAAAGATTGAGAGGAAATAAAATGAGCACTCTGTCAAGACATTACACAAAAGTATATTGTTAGTGAACTGTGTGTGATAAAAGGAATTCACTTATGACAAGCCTGAAAAACTATTGTCCAGCTGACACTCAATGCTGGAGCAAGAGCAAATAGCTGCCATAAAGAAAATAACAAGGGATTTGACGCTTTGATGCCAATAAAGATACTTCTTCATTACAATGCTTGCAACAACCAATATATCTCCACATATTTGGACAAAAATTTTGTCAAAAATATGCAGTCTTCTACGGGCCTCTTTTGCGTATAATTTGGACACGAAAAAAATCACACGCAAGCAAGTATGTACACCATAGCAGTCAACGATCATTAACGAATATCCTGTTTACATTTTGTTTCGTCAGAAATCACATATCAACCTCTGATTGAAACTGGACTAAAGTCTTCAATACAAAATAGATCACGTCCACTGCAATAAGATCAAAGTTATGCACCATGTTTACGTGCCTCTTTTCAGAATATTCTCCCACGATTCTCACGTATATCTCGGGATTAGTTTTAAATCTGAATTCTTTCAAGGGACATAATTTCGTACTAAAACTGAACTTAGCTATTAAATGATGTGAGCCTACGTTTTACAAGATGTCTTGTACTAAAATTATCATTAAAATATCATACTCACATATGCACTATCTCCGGAAGACATCAGTGTTGATTTGAAACTTTCTCGGATCTATTTCTCTTTGTATAATAAACGTTTATCATTTCACGACTATATACATCCCTGAAGTCGAAAACAAGCCGTTGGCACAAATGTACCTTTGCCATTATTCAAGATCAGCTGAAGCTTTCAATAAATCGACACCAAATTCACACATTTAAATGAAGAAGTTTTCTATAACGGAAAGATTTCCTGCCATGGCAACGAAGACATAAAGCAATTTCCAGAAGTTGTCGGTAAAACACTCGTAGTTTCTTACCAATTAAAAACTCAAATTGAAATTCAATCAATATTACATTAATATTTTTCTTGACCGATTGTTCGAACGTGGTCAGATGACCGCAGAGACTGGGTACTAGACTACTAAGGCGCATGAGTCATTCCGCATGCCGCTGTTCAATCGTAAATTGACGCAGGATACGCAGGGGAAAGAAGAAAATCTCAAGATGGGGGGAGGCGATTTGGTAACGATTTTTATTTAGAATACAATCGAAATGTTCGGTTTTCTTTTACTTAAGGGTGCTTTTGGGGACCTGGATCGTTAACTGATCGTTTTGATTATTTTAAACAGAATTTAAAGAAAAGTTGGCATCCCCAGACGCTACGAAATGTGGAGAGGGTATGGAAGGCAGAGCAAAAAGCCGAGGCAGAATCCAAGAAAATCGAGCAATTACGGAAGGAGCTGGAAGAAGAGAGAGCTCGAGAAGAAATGCAGAGGCATGCAGTACAACAGGGAGTAGCTAAGTGAGTTCATAAGCTGAATACGTAGATATTTGTAGGCCTTAAATGAATGCTTTGTTTATTTGCTGTCAAAAAGCTGAATAGAAACTCTCTCAACTGGCACCCTTGCCTGGTTCTCAGTTGCGATATTCAGAGTCGGGTATGGTGTGCAAAGCAAAGGATTGCCTCGGAACTAACAGAAGGTATCCGCTCAAAGGCACCAGGTATTCACTTTAGTGTCTGAGTTTTGAGCACTGAGTACTGTGCCATAATTCTGGCTAGAGTACTAGAAAAAACAGTGTGTCAGCCCTACATTAGTGCCCAGCGAGTGCCACATTCAGGGACCAATCCAAGGCACAAAGTGTGAATGCTGCCTTAGGCCATGTCCACACTTGGTGCTTGGACACTGTATCCTAATACATGACCTGCTGGGTACTAATGTGTTGGAACTTTCTTTGGAGTACCCACATCTAAATTTGAGCACAATACCAGTGTCCAAGTACAAGGTGGAGACCTTGTATCCAGGTACTGTTGTGAGCACTTTATCTGTTATTTCTGAGGCAGTGTCCAGGAACTACAATCAGTGACAAAATGAGTTGAGACACCTTGTCCAAAACTTGGCTTTTTTTACGTTTTACTGACTTCAAAAGAAGGAAATATAGCTTTTCCTCCCCCATCCCCTCCATGCAATGTTGTGCCGATGTTCGAGCTACCTATAGAAAACAACAATCACCCCAACTTAGAATGGAGGGGTCAGGGGAGGGGTGCGGATTCTTTTGTTCTTCGAAGTTACCCTATTTGAGTACAATGTCTCAACAATTTTGTCGCCGGTTGTAGAACTTGGGCACCATCTTAGCTGATTATTAATGCTGACTTGTCTTTGTACAATGTTCATTGTAAAGGAAAAAAGGTGAACGACTTGATTGGATGTATGCCGCTGCTGCTGCTGGAGGACAGGTTGATCATGAGTTGTATTTGCTTGGTAAACCTGTGGATAAAGCTGTGGATCCCATGGCACAGGACAATGAAGAGGTGAGTCTTTCTCCATGTTTTAAGCACCCTACCAAGTAAAATTATGTAAGGATCAGAGCAAGTCATATTTATTAAAGAGTTGTACACCTTACAGGAATGTCTGGGTAAAAATGCAGTGTGTTTTTTGGAGAAGTGACTGAAAGTTGTAAATTGAGTATTCATGTCTTATATAAAACACACATAAAAGTTGTAAGATGCACTGACTGCTGTTAGAACTCGTGTATAAATTGTCCCCAGAAGTTGTGCGAATCTCTCAGCAGCAATGTGAAATTTCCATGTTGCCATTGTAATTTAATAAATTACAATATTTTTGTAATGGAGCACTTAGGAATTCTTAAGAACTCATTAACCCTTTACGTCTTAAGAGTGACTAACATTAATTTTCTCCTACAAATATCAATACATACTCAAGAGAAGAGGTTACGAGAATGAATAAAATGATCACTGAAGAAAACGTGCTTTGATCTTTTAATAAATTCTCTCAACTTATTCTATGGGAAATGTATGGAGGTCAGTCTGGACAATTTGCATGTGGATATTTGGGGCTTAAAGCGAGGCTGTGCTCTAAGGGAAACTGAAGGGAGCCCAGTGCTCTTCATCTGTCAAATCTAGGGTGCTCAGCATATGATTTGCATGAAAAAAGTAAGATTTTCTAGTCGCCCAAGAGCAAAAGTTAGGCACCAGGGGCCACTAGGCTCTGCTAGAGCACAGCCTTGGCTTAAAGGATTAAAACGTGTCCATGTGTTCCAGATTTAATTGGAATTTGGAAGTGTTGGGTTTTAAGGAAAGGGGAAAACTGAAGTGAGAACCAACAACAAACTCAACCTAGGGCGCGTCAAACCCGGGCCACATAGCTGGGAGGTGAGTGCTCTCACCACTGCACTACCTTTGCTCGGAGATTTGTCTTTAAAGAGCCATTTTAGAACCAAGACAATGCGCAATGAGATTTAAACATTGAATGAGAATGGGGTGAAACATTATCCTGTATTTTACTGAACTATGATATATCAATGTTGCACTTCTGTGTTATAGGTCCAAATTAAGTTAAATTCAGGTTCATCTTTTTTTACCAAGGCTAATAATCAATAATTTTCTTTGGTTAAGGTGTAAGCAAACAGTGACATTTTTTTTTTTTTTTTGTAAGGACTCAACTGCTCCAGGGGCATCGTTCATGAATGACTCAGGTGCTAACACACCAAATGACTTGGCATCCAAAGTGCGGGATGATCCTCTGTTTCTGATCAAGAAAAAGGAAGAGGAAAAAAGAAAAGAACTGCTGAATAATCCTGTAAAAATGAAACAGTTAAAACTGATGCTTAAAGCCAATCTGGAGAAGTCAAGCAAAAAGAAGAAAGACAAGAAAAAGAAGAGTAAGAGAGAGAAAGAGGGAAAGAAGAAGAGGAAAGATAAACATGGTGAAGAAAGTGATGAGTCGGAGGATGAAGAGAGAGACCACGGGAAGGAAAGAAGAAAGAAATACAGAGAAAGAAGTGATGAATCAGACAATGACACTCGCAAAGTGAAAAGAGACAGGAAGGAAGTGCAAAGAGAGAGACGCTCAGAGAGAAGCAGTGAATCCGATAATGATACCAGGAAGAGAATGAGGGAAAGTGGGAGGAGGGAGCTTGTGAGAGAAGGCAAGGAGATGTTGAATGGGATTCATAGAAATCGTCGCCGGTAGGTAACTGTAATGTGTTGTATATGTTGTGGTTCAATTTTTTCTTGGTTTAAATTTTATTCCCCTATTGTATGAGTTTGCTTATGAGACACTAAATTTTACACGAAATGACATGTGCACAACTTCGAACAAAAACTGGAACTTCAATATCTCAAAAAATTTACTATGTAAAGTTGGGATTTCAAATTCTTTATGCAGTAGAACAGGTTAGTTCACTATTTTCAAAAGACAAACTTAAAGCAAGGGGCACACATATACCAATCCATGATCCGCCTTCCCCGCGCATGTCATGGGAGAACTGCTGTGCGGTTTCCAGCCAACAGCTCCCACATGTGTTGTGTGGAATTGGTGCTTAAAGGAGTGCTTTGCACTCGCCTCGGCAGTAAAGGGTCTTTCAGACATGGGTTTTTCCCATTCATTGACCTGATGGCTTTGCCTTTCTGGTGAGCTCAATAAGGGCGAAACAGCTGTCCATGGCTGCCACCGCCTGCGTGATATGGCTGCGTGTATGCGTGAGGTTCTGGCCAGCTGTCATGTGGGTTGGTGTATGTCTGCTCCTTGCTTTAAGTTTTGCACTATTTTCAAGGTAATTTTTGCTTATGCAAATGAATTTATTGCGTGTAAGTTCAATCTATTTTTCATAAATTACTGTAGTTCATGACATTTTTAAACAAATTGAACAGCGTGCACGATAGCTATAACTAGTAATAATAACAAAGAAGGCTTAATTTGACCTTTAAGTGTTGTTATTTTTACGGTAAAGGGGTAGAGAAGATGAGGATGAGAGAAGGACACAATACAGAAATGGAGACCACTACTCCAAAAGACATAGGTATTGAATATAATTTAAGTGTTGTGACAATAGATTAGTGAAGTCCTCTATAATTTTCAGTGGAGTAGGGTTGGGTTTGAGCAACAAAATAACAGTTTTGTAGGAATGGTACTTGTATGGGGCAGTGTTAATTTTTGTATAACGTAATAATTACAAGTCTTTAGTGGATAATTTCTTCTTTTACTTTCCAGATCTCCAGACAGAAAAAGACCTCAACAAAGATCACGGTCGAGATCACCATTGACAAGGAGAGAAGGGGAAAGGAGGGAATTACAAAGACAAAGACATAACTCCTCACATTCACCCCTCAGGAGAGAACAACACGGATGTGACTCCTTGCATTCACCTCCCAGGAGAGTACAACACAGACGCGACTCCTCGCATTCACCTCCCAGGAGAGAACAACACAGACATGACTCCTCGCATTCACCTCGCAGGAGGGAACAACATAGACATGACTCTTCGCATTCACCTCCCAGGAAAGAACGACACAGACGCGACTCCTCGCATTCACCTCCCAGGAGAAAACAACACAGACATGACTCTTCGCATTCACCTCCCAGGAGAGAACAACACAGACATGACTCTTCGCGTTCACCGCCCAGGAGAGAGCGACACAGATGTGACTCCTCGCATTCACCTCCCAGAAGAGAACAACATAGACATGACTCTTCGCATTCACCTCCTAAGGACAAAAGGCATAGATCTCGGTCACACTCATGCACACCCCCAAGGAAAGTACAAAAGTCTCCTTCTCCTGACAGAAGTAAAGCATCACAAAGTAGAGGATCAGCAGTTAAAAAGTAAGATTAAAGTTATTGCCTAAAACTTTCATATAAAAACCCTCTCACTTCCTTGGTGACCATAATTAAAACTAGAGTTGAACCTCCATTAAGCGACCCCCTATTAACCCTTTAAGCCCCAAGATCCACATGCAAATTCTCCATACTAATCTCCATACATTTCTTTTAAGAATAGTTGAGAGCATTTGGTTTAAGATCAAAGCATTCTCTCTTCGGTAATCTCATAACCTTTACTCTTGATGATCTGCTGATGTTGTTGAGAGAAAGTTGGTAGCTGCCTCCCTCTATTAAGCGGTCACTAATCAAAGCCCCGAAATAATTGTAGGAATGAATGGGAAATTATACCATTACAGCCACCTCCATTAAGCGTCTGAGGCCACCTTTTGGCCGTTCCAACGAGAGTTCTCCCATTGTTGTCACCTCTATTAAGCAGCCATCAAGCACTTGATACACTTAGTTTTGCTTCATTTTAAGAATAGTGGTATGTCAATGGTAAAAGGAAAAAGCAGTCTGAGGTAGAAGGTAACGACTGATTGTGGACGAGTAATGCTGCTCCCGTTGCGTGTTTGTTTCAAAGTGAAGTGATGTTTCTGCTAAAGATTATGCTAATTTATGACAAACCTCGCTTGAGCAGCCACTTGCCAGTACCCGGAGGGTGGCCGCTTAATTCAGGTTCAACTGAACTGTATAGAAAAATTCCAAATGTCACGTTGTAAAATTTGGGAAACAAATACCACTCTGCAGTAGAACTGCCAAAGGGTGTTCATACTGATGATCAGACACATCATAGGGTTTTGTTCAGAGACTCACCTGTCACTCGTATCAACATACATGTAACTGTCTACTTTGCTGACCAATAATTAATCTGATACAACAGAGTAATGGATGCTGCTGAGAAAGAGAAACGTCTTGCTGCAATGATGGAGAATGCCAAGTAAGTTGTTTGACTCTCTTGATTAAAAAATAAATTTATTTATCTGCCCAGCTGCAAAGTAATAAAATCAATAAGTAAATAACAATTTGCAGGTAACACATCCACATAGTGTTTCTTCGTCTACCTGATTACTGGTTGAATTGGATTTGGAAATGTTGGTTTTTGAGGAGAGGGGAAAACCGGAGTACCCAGAGAAAAACCTCTTGGAGTAAAGGAGAGAACCAACAACAAACTCAACCCACATATGGCGTCGATGCCGGGAGTTGAACCCGGACCACATTGGTGGGAGACCAGTTCTCTCACCACTGTGCCACACTTGCTCCCCGAAGTAATTAGTCTGTTATAAAACAACTATCTAGTTGTACCCATCTCTGTGGACATTTTATGTAGAATAAGAAATGGTTGCACTTAACTTTGCCTCAAATAAAATTCCTTGAAGATGGCTCTATTTTTCCCTATGGAGTAGATTTTACAGCAGAACTTGCCCTGCATTTTCCTATTTTATTTGAAGGCTTAGTTTTAGGATAACTTGAAGGTGTGGAATTGAATTTTTTTATTGGCTACTTTGACGTAATCGTCTTAGCTTTAATCTTTTAATCTTTCTTTCCTACACTGTAGGTGGCGAGACGATCAGAGAGGAAGAAATATTAAAAGATACAAGGTAAGGGAAGTCTCTTCTTCGTATAATCGTTAATGACAATAAAAACCTCAGCAAAACATATGTTTGTTTATGGATGAAGATTTGCCTGTAATATGCTCAACTAAGCCCAAATGAGTAAAGGCGATTTCCATTTGTCAGAACTGTGCTGTCAAACTATTTCCGTCCTAATGAGAATTTCACTTTAAATCATAACTGTCGGTATCCAGTCAGATCAATCAAATCTTAAATATTATGCCTAAAGGAAATAGTTTTCCAGCGAAAACTCTTGGAAAAAGCCGATTTCATTGTCAAAATGACTGGTCCGGCCATGGTCTGGCCAGCCAATTCTGACTTTCGGAAAGCAACCTAAGTAACAAATGTATTGGTTATTAAACTATCTATCTCTCATCTCTAACTTAGGGAAACGACAGGAAGTTTCTTTAAACATGAACAATTTATTGGCACAGATTAGGTGAATATGAGTAAAAAGTATTCATACGCCATATTCTACAAGTTCACTGCCATAACTGGGTAGAATAGTAGCATAACAAACTGCCGTAACATTCTTATGAAATCGAAAGCCACTCAGATTATTAAAAAAGCGTTTTTACTAACGTATTTCAGGAAGAGGATGCCAGGTTAGAAGCCAAAGAATCCATGGAGAAAGATAAAAGTGCAACGTTCTTAAAGTAAGTTCTAATATACTCCCTACAAATGCCGGTTGAAAACCAACATGAAAAGCAGTGACTCTACTGTTACCCAAACACCGATAACAAGAGAGAAGAAAACGGGTCTCAGCTTTCGAGGGGTCAACCCGCAGCCTCGAGGTGTTTGGATATCGGGATTGGGTATAAGGTCATTTCGCGCGAAGGTCGTTTCGCCCGAGAACAGTTCGTTTGCTCGATGTGTATTTGCCGTTTTTTAAGCCAGAAATAAGAAACAAGCATAAAGACAGGGAATGCACATGTGAAATCCTAGCTTAACTAAAATAAAGTCTCTGATAAGGATTTTTACCGTGTCCTAGAGTGTTGTATTTCATCGGGCGAATTGACTTAAGTCCGGGCGAAACGACCACATTTCTGTTGGGTGTCACATGAACACTCCTTTACGTGAATCACTTGCTACAAAGACGACAAATATTTGTCCGCCAACTTCAACCGGGACTTGAATTTTTATGGTCTCGCTGAGGAGTTGCGTTAGTGCAAGAGGGAAAATTGTGGTCGGTAACTAAAGAGATTTTCTCTATTACTTTACCAGTGACATGAAAATTCAGTCGTTTTCCTCAAAGACAACGTCTAGTGTCAGCGACCGCATTCGTCGTAACATCAACTCGGTCCAACGAACCGCGGTGGCTTTAGAGTCGTTTCTGGGAAAATAACCTGCGAGACACATCCTACTTAAAACCGAACATCTGTCGAAAGTTTACAAAAGAGAGGGCTGGACTGTCGTTGAGAGTTAACGGGATGTTCTGAAGAATGAATCGTACTCTACACTTTAGGAACACCCGAATCTTTAACTATTAAGAACCGAAGAATTTCCTGAGAGTTCACCTTGCTTCGGTTACTTAATGTGAAGTTGGAAAGGCAGCAAGATCTCTTATCACCCAACCCAACCAAGATCCCATTAATGCCACTCCCGCGATGCTCTAGCAGCATCCCAGCTATTTTCGTGGAATTACGAAGATGCTACGCAGGTCAACGAAGATTACTTCGGGAACTGATGGTGTTAGAAGAGTCAGCACCATTCATTAGCAACTAAACAGACTTCTTATTGCATTCACGCTAACTGCTATGAGTCAGCGTTGTACTCTTCACATCTACTTGTAACCAAAATGGACTTTGCACAAGTGATCCGAAAATGTAGTAAGGGATGAGTTTATTGAGCTTCAACGTTGTAACCAAAGTCACTCCTCTTGGCTAGTCTCTCTCACTACGACGGATGAGATAGGAGAGATCCTGGGTTTTAACTAGTTCGTTTGGGGCTCGGCGCAAATGGTAAAGCTGAGGTTGTAAGAAAACTTAAGACAGAATAGACATGAGCAGTCACGTACATTGTTTATAGAACTGTTTATTATGCCACTGTAAAAAAATAATTTTAAGCAGTACAATTTTGCCTTTCTTGGCACAAAATTACTAAACGTTTTTATGTAAAATATATGTTCAAACACCTCGTGTTTTCTCTAATTATACTCTTTGCTCTAAACACTGTTTTAACATGTAAGTTTAAAATATTCTATTTTACTTCTATTTTACTTCACCGTAGTAAACCTTGTTGGTATAATTTAAATATTGAAGCGTAAATATTCTCTTTTGGATATGGGCTAGTTTCTATCATACATGGACGGAAGCTTGTCATAGTTCTCTTGTACGGTATATGAAGCGACCTCCTCTGTCCTTTGTGCATGGTAGGGTTAGGGTAGCTTATAAATGATGGGAGGGATGGGTCATTTGGTTTTTGACCGTGACGCGTTTACTGAAATGGATTGAGGGTACAGAGATGCTGATGGGAGGGGTGGGTTGTTTGGTTTGTAATCGTGAATTGCTTACCGACGATGGATGGTGGTTTCAGTGGTGTTATGGGAGGGGTGGGTTGTTTGTTTGTTTGCTTTTGTTTCACCGAGATGCGCGTACAGAGGATGGAGAATGAAAGTAAGTAATATCTTTTTTATCCTACAGAGAATGCCATATATTTCCCTTTTTCGATATATCTATGAAGAATCTTAACATGTATTTCACTGCAAGTAACAAAATGGCTAATTTGATGTCGTGGCGTTATACAAGAACTTGAACAGACTGGTAAATTTTTCCCTTGCTGTCCGCACTATTTTTCTTCACCATTTTCTTTAAACTTTTTATCTTGTCGTCTTTCTTTTTTAAGTCGTTTTGCATTTCACTGACTTTAGTGACGAGGTTTTGTATCTGCAGTGTCAACGCTTTGATGTCTTCCTTACAATCTGTTACGTTTTCTTTCTCCTGAAAAAATAAATAAATAAAGGCAAGAGTAAATTAGAGCCGTAATCACGTACCAAACTAGTACGAATATTCCACGATATTCGATTAAGACTGTTTTGCCACTCTACCCTCAACAAAGACCGAATGTAGGGATCACGTACCAAACTAGTACGAATATTCCACGATATTCGATTAAGACTGTTTTGCGACCGTACCCTCGACACAGACTGCTAATGGTCCCTTTTCTTTGCGTAAAGAGGGAAAGCAACACAGGGCGAAAGGAGCTGGAAAGATGGGGCTGGTTCTGTATTTAGCCAACCTCGTTCCCAGTCCCTCCTCTTCCCTGCTGAAGTGAGAAAGACGGCTCTCTATCTCTCTCTCCTGTTCCAGGGGAAGGAAAGAAGAGAGAGCCTGAGAAGGAAGTTGTTTGCTACGCCTTCGGGACATTCCCGAGGGAATGCTAGCAACCTACGCTCAAAACATTTATCAGGTGCCAAGCTCTTAACCACCCAAAGTGCAACAAATTCTCGCGTTCCTGTTTTTCTGGTTTTAGTGTAACACCTATTGCCTCAACCGCAGTTTCCGGAATATGCGTCTGTGTTCACAGATTCCGTTGCTTTGCTCTCGTTTCCGGTGTGTTACACCTCACTGGAACACGAAGAGATTGTGGCCTGTGCAGAGGTGCTTTTTGAGTTCATTTGAAGTCTCTGATACCAAACACCAATCAAGCAACACAACTGAAAGCATACCTCTGATTTTGTCTCAGGAGTCTGGGCTCTAGCCACCACAATTGTCACTGTATTGGTTTCTTGCAATGCAGCGATCACGGGCTCAAGCGGAGAGTTGAGCAAAAACCTGCCGTCGATCTAAAGCAGTAATGAAATAGATATGTTTTAATTCAGAATGAGTCCTAGTCAAACTATATTTAGGCTAAACAACAAGCGATAGTCTTCGAGAGAGTGCCAACTTGTTAATAATTGCTGTATATATACCGGCGCCCCCTTCTGCCCCCACACCCTCCCCGAAGGACTTTCATTTTTTTATGACAATATTTTAGTATGTTCCTATTGCGTTCTGTGATTATTAGTGAGTCTTTGATGAGCTCTCGTCTCTTTTGCGTCGTTCCTCTTGAAGGAGCTTCGAAAGAAAGAATCCCCAAAGGGCTCAAAGCTGCAGGTTGAAGTCGCTGCTCAGGACTATTCGTCTTCTGCTATACGTCTCTGTTTGCAGCCTATGCTTCGTCACACGTTGGAACCACTTATTATGATTACATGAAAATATACCCGAAGATCTAAGGAAAAAAAGTTGTTGCTCACCTCAACGATTAAATCATCTACAGCCAGTTCACCACTTGTTGCTGCAACCCCTCCCTCGGTCAGTGCAACTATTCGCACTCCAGGACGAGGCTGAGGACTTCCATCTTTACTCCATTGCGCAAACGCAGAAGAAGGTCGCTGAGGAAGAGGGTTAATTTCTCCCCCCGCAGGCGCAGATCCCGGCCTCGACAAAATGGGACTTAAAGCAGGAAAGTTTACATGTTGATTACATGTGCCAATCTTTCTTCTCTTAAGGCTCTGTTTGTGTAAAATATGCCGCATGTCTTGAGACTTGTCTACGAGAGATGATGTTCCTAGAATTGATGTTATCTCGTGCTCACTTGACCCAGATGAGCTATGAGAATGCGGAGTGCTGATCCCTGATGGAGAAAACAAATCTCCGCTGGAATCAGCCGCGGAAGAAGTTCCCACGATAGAATTCTGTCCATTTCCGCTGTGGAGAACGTACACAACCTTTTCGTCGTCTGTCGCATCATTGTCATGTTGGCTCATCGGGGAACCTGTTCTGGTGACATGAACCAACTCTAATCCCCAGCCTTCGCCCGGTTGCTTGTTTAAAGTCACTGTAACAAGTTTGGAATGTTTCAGAACACTCGCAAGACTAAGGCGATTTGATTTTGAGTTCTTAGCAACTGAATTTTCAAATATGTTTCCGCAGTTTTTTTCATTTTCGCGTAAAACATCGTTGTGATTATTATCGTTACGAAGGTGCGATGGAGGGGACGAAGAAAAACGCGGCAATTCTTCGCTATCAGAGGAAACGCGTGATGGAGGCGTCTTTTTTCTGTTTGCATTATCGCCATCTTTGACGTCTTCGTCTATCGTGTTGTGAGCAGCAGTTTCTCCTTTCCCACTGTTGTGCGCATACTCAAGAAACTTGCTTCTGAAGCGGTCAATCTGAGAAACTTTACGCCTCTTTGGTCCCTCGCCGGAACCGGAAATGGCTGTTTCGTCAACCGCAGTAACACTACTTGGCTTCCGGTGATACTCCTGAAACTTGTGCCTCAAGTTATCAATCTGCGAAACTTTGCGTTTAACCTGATTGACTTCATTCACCTGATTAATTTGAGAGAGTTGTAAATCTAAAGCATCTATTGAAGTTCTTCGTCTGCGTATCTGTTCTGTAGTCTCTTTTTCCTCGATTTCTGAGGAAGAGGAGTTCATAGGTTGGTCTTCGTTGTTCTTGTCATGGTCGCTGGAAGATTGTTGCGTAGCGTTTGTTTCTCCGTTTAGTGACACGTCCTTGTCTTCACCCTGAAGAACGCCCTAGAAAGCATTAGAAGGATTTTGTCAATCTTTAACTGCCAGGGTATAGCAAACGTTTACGGAAAAAAAAGTCGGTAATCAATAGTGATTTCTTGCATTTCATTTCATTTCATTTCATTTCATTTCATTTCATTTCATTTCATTTCATTTCATTTCATTTCATTTCATTTCATTTCATTTTATTTCATTTCATTTCATTTCAATAGTCGTTCCTGCATTTCATCTTCTTGTGAAAGTAAACAAAAAAAAGACACACACACAAAACATAATCGCGCGCATTTTCCCGCCATTGGCGCCGGTTAGATGAAATTACTTGGAGATCTGATTGGTTCCTTTCTTCCGCACGTATTCTGATTGGCCAGATAAAATATTTTAGTCCTTGTCGTCCAAAAACATGCATGCGCAGAGAGAGTTGATAAAAAGTAGTTATAAGGCCATATGCGCCTTCTGCCGTGAACGGCGGCGATGATAATGAAAGAGTGGTAGAGTTGATAATGATCGCCTGTTAACTGAAAACTTACCTCAAATTCAGCAAGTGTTAAGGTAAATGTTCTCTGCTCTCCAAGCTCCCACTGTGACTGTACCTCAAGAGGACATTCATCTGCTTCCAAGATGCGACCAACTGCAAGAAAATCGTATCATTTATTGCTTCTCTTCTCAGGATTTTGCGCATAGAAGGAAATAAATAAATCCTATTGCCCTTCGAACTGAGTCAGAGAAATAAAATGTTTTTAAAGAAATAAATCAAACCAAACATTACAAGGTCCAACTTCCGGAACGGAGCAAACCGGAAGTGGAGAATCCTTAGGATCGAGGTTATTCATTTACCCGAGCAACTTTCTTGTGTGTCTTGTCGCGTAACAAAGTCGTTACAAGTTAATTGTTTTCTTCGCGTATCACCACCTTTACTGGTAACAAATTGTCGTATTTTGAAAAGACCCGACGTCTTCTCATTCCAAATTGTGTCAACTTTACGCGCAAAAATGTTGGACCAAGAATGATTCGCGTTAAACTTAGTCTTTTCAATACTGGCAAAATTTCAATTTTATACCGTTGCAAATTGAAAGGATGTTCAACCATGGATAATATCCATGGTTCAACTTACCCTCCGAATCAGACAAACTCTCCACGAGAACAAACTTTTCAGGAGGTTCGTCGCTGCCATAGCTAGACAAGATCATCTTCACAACTTCATCGGCTCTGGTTTGACGAGATATCTGCACGCATTTGTAGGTTGCCTGAAAGATACCAGACACGGTATATCATTTGCATTGCTTTGACGCAATCCTTGTTTCGGTTTGAATGACTCAGTCTAGGTAGCCTTTCCGTACAGCCGTCCCTTCCCTTCAAACTAAAACGACTATGTTTATTTAAGGGGGCGGGGGGGTTCTGTACACAGGCCAAGTCTAGGTAGTGGCAACTTTTGAGATGAACACTTGGGATAAGGTCATTGTCAAGACTAGCCTGTTGGCATTACTTTAACGTAAATTCGTCCCCAACTTTTGATTAATTTCTGGACGGTTTTTATTTCTGTGCCAATAAAATTTAACTTAATTTCCCTTCTCTGTGTAAATTCACAGTAATGAAATGAAGCAATAAATATGGCGCAGATGTTCACTAAGTTCCAACATTTCGTATCCAAAGAGGAGCCAGTCCGGCAGTTTTTCATCTGCTGAAACGCACGCCAAGTTGGAGAAAATGCGC